AAGGAAGCCACGCGTCAGTGGCTCAACAACGTCATATATTTCACCTCATTCATATTGCCGCCCCTGGTCGAGGGTCAAATCTCCTAAGCCGAGGTTCGCATTCCGCCCATCGAAGACGCCCACCGAATGCGTCTCCAACGAGCGGAGGGACTAACTGTATAGGGTCAAATTTGACCCTCAGCATCTCTACGCCAGTGGGTACGCCCAGTGAGTGTACGCCGACTAACGTAGCGGGTACGACTCGGACGTGGGGACAAAACGACATCGTTTAGGACTCAGTGTCTTCACTAGGGAGACGTTACCTGTCTTTGTAACTTTTTGATTCTTTCGAGGAAGGTCTCTTATTATATAAAGGAGACCTTCACATTGTAAAAAGGGGATTCTGATCTAATACAACTCTCTCATTTTCTGGCTCTCTCTCTCTATCTCTACCTCAAACGAACATATCTTATTGAGTTCATATTATCACTTTGCAATACTAGATCTACAACAATAATATCATCTTTGCATCTCTAGGTTTATTATATTTGATTACGATTTACCCTTTTCTTATTTTTGATTGTTTTCTAGCTTACAAAGTATATTGTTAACTTTTGAGCCAAACAACCAAAATTGTGATTACCAACACATTAAAATAGAACAAAGATAGATAAATTTTCTGTAGATGCGAATAGGAAAATTCACAGTGAATAATCCAGAACTGAAAGGAAAAATAGAAAGATATGCAGCGGAAGAGATAATGTAGTGTTCTTGTCTCGCAAGTCACAGCCAGGCTATTCAGATTTGAGAGCTCCTTCCATCACTTATGGCACAAAGACTTGGCACTTCGCGAGTGATATGATGTGTCGAGTTATAAAATAATAGAGACAATGTTGCGATGTGTTCATTTGTACACCACCAGAGAAGGAGGAATTTGAGGAACTATGAAATATTGCATTTACCTCTATTAGTATATATCAAGAAACACACACAATTAGCAATCGTTTTAGGTAAATAATTGGATTAACACTAAAACATGTAAAAGCAGTTAAAGATTTGCTAAGCTAAATTCCCACACATGCCATGTGAAAATAAATGATTTTTGTTTAAAAAGAACAAGAAAAAGGATACCACATGAAGCCATGCTAATATGGAACTTCTGTATGAAACTTCCAGCATATCTCGTACAACACGAAGCTAGTCTGCTTTCGGCTAACATAATGTATCTCTCAGTGCCACCTATAGTCCGCTTCCAGTTAAAGATACGGACTGACCATCCAAAGTATGCAATTTTGAGTTCATTCTGAAAGCATACATATTAAAATTAATTAATTTGAGTTCCATCATTTAAGCTGTAATGCATATTATAAACTATTTACAAATGCTAAATATATACCTGTACACCAACCAAAAGATTATCCAGTTTGATATCTCTGTGTATTACATGTTTCTCATGACAGTATGTGAAGGCTTGGGCTAACGATGCAATATATATACTGTTCCAAGACAGAAGATAAAAGCGTGAAATAAAATTCTGCGACTCCAAAGGTCATATGATACTCAAGGAATCTGCAAAAATCATTCTATCTAAAAGTGGAGCAATCGACATCAATTTTTACACAATATAGACAACAGGCAGGTGAAATAATCAAAGGAAAACAAGAAGAATATAAGCAAGCAACTAAAAAAACTTACCCTTTTTAAGAAGAAGCAGAGAAGTCGAAGAAAGTCAGTGCTCTATGTAAAGTACGAAAAGGAGTACTGTAGATATGTTGTGGATATTAGAACAAATCTAGAAGTTGGCAATTTATAGTAAGGGTTGGAGGAAAAGGATAGGTGTACAAAATAGCTTAAAGACGAAGAGAACAGAGGAGAAAGTCAGGAAGTGGTGAGGTTATAAAAATGTTAATTACTTGCTCGGAGAAAATATGGAGGACAAAGTAAAAGCACAAGAAGGGTACCAATTTGAAATATAACTAAATCTTCAAAAATCTAACACATCAAAACTACTTAATGAAAGATAGACTATTCTATGAAGGGGAATACATTAGCATATTTTTTACATTATATCATTAAACTGAACGTAAAAATGCAGCTACATAATAAAAGCTTTGGTTATACCATATTCATTACCAGTGAATAGAAAATCACAATTCACGAAGAAAATAATTGCATACATGTCTGATACTTTATCTATACAAAGCAACAATGAGAAAAAGGATATAGGAGAATACAAAGAAAAAACATCACAACCTGTAACTCAAAGGATTGCCTTCTGAATAATTTTGTCGTATACTATATTAGAGGCAGAATGATCGTCATCGCTACTTGGCGTAGACGGTCGGATCAACAATTTCACACAACTTGAACTCTTTGCCCTCGATAAGGCAACGTAAAGTTGACCATGTGAAAATACAGGTTCCCACAAATAAATTCCAACGAAATCTAAAGTCTGGCCTTGTGCTTTATTTATTGTCATAGCATAGTCGAACAGGAAATTGCGTTCTTTTAAATTGCACAGGCATTTTTTCATCCTGCGATGATAATAATGGAATTCTGGATTTAAACACGTGCATATTTTTGAAATCACCTGTCGTAATCTTAGCGCTGATCACATGGCTTTTAAAATTACAGCAAGTCAATCGCGTGCCATTACATAAACCTTCACATGGATTTAAATTTCGCAATAATATAATTGGACAATTCTCTTTCAAACATAATTTATAAGGGGGCAAACCAGGAGGATTTAAAATGTGTAGTAGATCTTCAAATTGTGTTTGGTTATTAAATTCGATAGCTTCACCGGTGCCAATAAATATTTTTGATTTTCCAGTAAATCGATCATTAAGCATGTCATTAATTTCATCGACGAAATCATTTTTTGTTGTCAAGATCACACGGGAATCTGTACAAAATGAATTAGAGCATAACGAATCCAAATTTGAATATGTCGCTGTGAATAGTTTATCGAGGGATTCTTTTTCGGTTGTGTAAGGAATAATCAAAGAATCTGGAATTTCAATCTTGTTTGCTGAATTGACTCGTTCTTGTCCATTTCCAATTCTTAACAAATAATCACAAAATGCAGGATCTATTTTTGCTCTCATGTTCTCAGATAATTTTAATTTTTCAAGTTTATTCCAAATGCTAGAATATAATAAACTTTCGTTGATGAAATCTTCTTTTTTTCCGTAGCGCACAATAGGAAGAGTTTGTCTGAAGTCACCTCCTAAAACAACAACTTTTCCGCCAAATAATGCATTTGTATCCATCAAATCTTTTAAGAGTAGATCAAAAACTTCCAACATTCTTTTTTTGGCCATAGATACCTCATCCCATACAATCAATTTTGCATCTCGGATTAAACCTGCAAGTGCGCTTTCTTTGCTAATGTTACAACTGGCATTTTCATCGATGTCAATAGGAATTTTGAAACGTGAATGTGCAGTACGTCCTCCTGGGAGAATAGAAGCAGCAACACCAGAAGTAGCTGTTGCCAAAGCTATATATCCCATGGATCGTACAGTTGCTAATAAAGCACGGTACAAAAAAGTTTTCCCTGTTCCTCCTGGACCATCTACGAAAAATGCACCTGGTTTATTCGAAAATATCCTTTCAGTAATCACATTATATGCAATCAATTGATTTTTGTTTAATTTCCTATGCAACAATACGTCATCTTCGCTAACAATAATAGATCTTCCAAAATGAATCTCTTTTGCCTCTTTTGCTGTCGTAGAAGGCCTGATAGTTTCTGAAATAAGTTCATACTCATTTACATCATGACCCATGGAATGTAAAATGTCATTGATATGGTTCAGAGCTTGATATCGAATTTCTCTTCTTTCAATAGTTTGTAACACTTTATAGTCTTCAATCATCGATTCTTCAAATTGTTCCCATAATTTTCTGGGGTTGGCAGGACCACAATATACCAGTAACGTAGCAAATAAACGTCGTAAACTATATGGCATTTGGTAACTTGCGGCCTCAGACATACACTCTATCAAGCTATTATCACAGTGCGATAATCCTCTTTTTTCTACGGACTCTCTGAAAGTACTACAAGGCTCTCCATTTACTGTCAAAAGATCCTTATATGACATCGGTCCTCGCACATGCATTAGTAATAATCTAAGATAATATCGTTCTCCTTCTGTTGGATGACATGTCACAATACGGCCAACAGCACAACGTTTTTGTCTACGTGCCCAAATTGTCACTGGAGGCCACACGAATATCAGGAATTCTTGTACACTAAGTTGAGCTCTTACCANTTTTAGAATATTTCTATACGCGTATAGAAATATTAATTATAGAGAAAATATTATTGTATAACCGTTCTTAAAATAATAGTCGAAAAATATATATTTTATATATATATATATATATATATATATATATATTATGTATGTTATATACAAAAATTATATGAATTTTATATACATTTTCAACTACCATATGTAAATAGTTTCTGACACGGGTTAAAAGTGAAAAAACCTAATAATATGAGATCTATTTTTTGAAAAAAAGGGAGAAGAAAATGAGTTATTTATATTTGTATATATATAGTTAATTGGCTCTCCATTTGATAACACCTAGAAAAACCAACCCAATCAATACAAATCATTTCACCTCTTACAGTGTCTCTTTTATTAATTTAAATAATGTTACTCTTGTTGCTTAAACATAGAGTACTAGGACTTTTTATAAAGCAAAGTGTGGAAGAGATTCCATTATTCTAATAAGGTTTAGGTCTCTGTGATTTCAAGTCCCAAGGCCAACTAATAATGCCATNGGAAATTCATATTCCACTTACATCATAAGAACAATGGATACATCAGGAATTGTTGTCACCTTTTTACTGCATATTTTGAACTTGGAAGCATAGATATATTTAAACAACTTGACTTTGGGTCACCCAAAAAATATTTTGAATATGCTATTTCGAAAGTGGTTATCAAAGTATTCAATCTCCATGTGAAATTAAATATAACTACATGTGCATCTCGGTGAGTGATTATAAACATAACTTGAATGGGAAACATGTAGGTTATCTTATAACACTATATATTTGACATGTCAAAAGTTACCGTTAAGGTATAGCGTTTTTAATTTCGGCGTTATATATAGTAATGTATCTTTTTTTTTTTTACACTTATTAACGTTACATTTGTCCAAAAAGACAATAAAAAGGTTCCGAACTCTACATTTTGCATGATTTACCGTGTAAGATTTTCAGTTCTCGAAAAAAGTGGGCCCCGGTTTAATTGAATTGTTAATTGTATAATAAAAGATTAAATCAGTCAATAAAATTTCTCCACGAAGTTTTATTAAACTACGTTTTTAGAAAAAAGTTACTCTTTGAATTGGAAAATAAGCCTCAAACTCGAAATTAATTTTATCGTAAAATTTATCTCATCAAAGTTAAACGCCACATTTCAATAGGATTTATTTATTCATGTATTTGTTATTCCTATGATATTATATTTAGTTTGAATAAAAGTAATTATTGTTAATGCAATTTATAGATCATGTGGTGGTAATTCAACTAATTTTTTTGGGCTCTTTTCACTTAAGCCTGCGCCAGAAACTATTTTATATTCGGTAGCCGAAAAAGTGTATAAAATTTGTATAATTTTTGTGCATAACAAACATAATGTATATATATATATACAAAACATATATAAAATTTATATATTTTTCGGTAATTATTTGGAGAGCGGCTATATAGTGTCTTTTTCCCTAATTTTTCCCTTTACTATCACATTAGTCGGAGAGCACGATGCTCAATTCATATTAACCTAAATAGCCGTTCACACAATCATTTAAATAATAGTTGACAAATGTATACTATATGTGTAATTCATATGCAATATGAGAATAATTGTAAATAATCACTTTATAATCCATATATATCTGTTATAAAAAATAAATAGTGAATCTATCTGACTATCTGTGAAAATATCCCTATATCTATTTATGTAAGTACCTATTTAGAATAGTAACATACAAGGCCATTCAATTGTCAACATAGGTAGCATTTCGATTTGATTGTGGTTTAATTTTGTAAAAGCGTATTTGGAATAGCTTAGGTTTTGAACCTGATTTTCTGAACTTTCTTTTAACCAACGGACATTCAGACAATATTTTGAAAAAAAAATTCTGAGAAATATTTACAGAAAGATAAAATGTTTGGTTGATTGTCAGTTTCTCTAAAAATTCTATTTCTTTTAGAAGTACGATATGGTTATGGTAGTGGTCACAAAGTTTGGTCGGCTCTATGGATACCTGTAAGGAACTTAAGGCTTTTATTTGGTTTAATATGAAAAAAAGTTCAATAGAAAATCACAGAAGGAAAAGTTACACTTGATTATTAGAAAAATGTCTTATATCCGTTTGTTTCAACTCATTTATCACATTATATCGACAACTCCATAAGCTTACTTTATAATTTAAAAGAAAAAAAATAAATGAATTGTTAAAAGAAGCCTCAAAGATGCTACAACTTGCTTAACTTATATTGGCCGAAGACCTGAAAATAATTTTTTTGCACTAGATATAATTGATCATTATGCAGGAAAAATAATTTTGAATAAAATTTAAACTTATACATTGACTAATTTGTCTGTAACAAGAAAAATTCAACGTAAAAATTGGGCCCGGACACAGCACGGGCCAAACGTAACTAGTAGGTATAGAGGGGGAATTCTTACACGATAGTAATAATAATAAATAAAAGAAAAGTACGTTTTGTCCCGGCCTCTTGGAATCAATCTTTTTCTATTTTACCTTTCTTAATATGATGATTATTGACTTTTTATCTTGGATATGGAATTTATTTCCATTCGTCTTGGCTATTATTGAATTAAAAGACACTATGGCATTGTACCTAAGGGTGGCAAGTGGGTCGGTCCGGGCCCAGTACCGGCTCGGGACTGCGAGCCAAGTGGGATAAGTGGGCCGGGACCGGTAGGACCACTAGAGGTGGGCCTAGGCCGGTCTCGTGGGCTGGTTCTTGCCCTTGAATCGTTAGGACCGGGACCGTTTGGCCCAACAATTAATTTTTTTTTTAAAAAAAGTAGCCTTTTGGCTATTTAAAAAAAACAGTCATTGGTTATTTAGAAAATAGCCATGTAACCCCCCCCCCCCCCCCAACTTTATTTTAACCCTAAATTTTTATAATTACACTTTTTCCCTATTTTCAACTATAAATACACAGTCATTCTTTCATTTTTCTTACAAAATCAATATCAATCTATCACAATCTCTCTCTAATTTTCTTCTATACTTGCTACTATTGCTTACATTATTCCAAAAAATAGTAAAAAAATATTGAGGTTGTTAAAATTTGTAAAAAAATTATGAAGTTGGTGAATTGAAGTCTTAAAGTCTTCAACGATAATCAATTTTCAACAAGTTGTTCGTCAATTCGGTAAACTCGTTCCAACTCTTAAGTCTTAATATTATAGTTTTGTTTGTTTTATTTATTTGCTATTACTTGATTCCGAGGGTCTTCCGGAAACAGCCTTTCTACTCCTTCGGGGTAGGGGTAAGGTCTGCTTACACACTACCCTCCCCAGACCGCACTAATGGGATTTTACTCGGTTATTGTTGTTGTTCTTGTACTTGATTAATTAAGATGGCTTCCTTAAAAAAATATTTTTGGTAAAAATAAGAATAAGGGAAAATCCAAGAGTGGCGAATCTAGTGGTCATGTTGTTCCTACTCCCCTGCCCGGGCTCCCCGAACCAAACCCCATATCCATCATACACCTACTATTCTTGATAGCGATAATAGTTTATTACAATTTACCGAGAGTCAATTTTATCATAATATTGCAGCCTAAGAAAGATATTGCCATGTTTTTTTAATGCTATAATAAAATTACAAGGCATTGCTTTGAATATCTCTTTACAATATTTTCGTCTTTAAATTTGAATTACAAAATTTAGGTCTGTCCTTATAGATAGGCGAAAACCACCTCCTTGACAGATTACGGAGCTACCCAGCTTCTCCTAATGCCAAGTAGCAGAAAATAATTCTATAATAAATTTACAAGGCATTGCCTTAAATATTTTTTTAATCTTTTTGCTCTAATTTCAATTTAATTTTTTTAAAAAAATAAATCAATATTTTAGCCGTTGGGCCCACTTAGCCCGCGGGCCCTGCCTGTTTAGCCCGGGACCATGAGTTCGTGTGCCCGCAGGGGCGGCCCTTCCATCAATCAAGTAAAGCAATCGCTTTAGGCCCCACATTTATGGGGGCCCCATTTTTTGTTACGCCTAATAGGCTATGTATAAGTTTAAAAAAAGGTTCTCTGAAGTGAAAAAGTGTGATTTATTTTTTTAACAAGTATAGAGAAGAAGGATTTGCAACTGCTATGATTTCTGCCAAGAAAATTGCACTTGGAATGAATATCCAACCTGAATTTCATAAGAAACATGTGATATATAGGAAGTAACGATTTGATGATAATGTTGATAATAAAATCTCAAAATCTTTCGAAGAATCCTTTGGAGTTGATTACTTTATACATAGTAGACAAAGCTATTTTTTTCACTTCAAAATAGATTTGAACAATTGGAAGCATATGAAAATATTTTTGATTTTCTATTTAGCGGTAAAAATTAAGATCACTACATGATCGAAATTGAAAAGATAATGCCTTAATCTTAAGTGTTCCTTAAAGCATAATAATCAATTCGATATTGATGGTTTAGATTTATTTTCGGAATTAAAAGTATTAAGAAATATAGTGCTGTTAGAAGATAGCGGTTTAATTGATACGCTCGGTCAAATAAAAAGATTTGATTCTTTTTCGAATGCCTATATTGCTTATGGAATACTGTTAATAACTCTTGTTACTGTCACTTGAGCGGAAAGAAGTTTTCAAAATTAAAATTGATAAAATCTTACCCAAGATCATCAATGTCTCAAGAAAGGTTAAATAGATTAGCTATATACAATTAAGAAAGACTTATTAGGAGTTATTGATTATAAGAAAATTATTAATAACTTCGTATCTAAGAAACACTAGAAAAATATACTTCAAATAAATAAATAATTTTTAAAAATAAAAAAAAGTTAAGGCCCCTCAAAAAATATTGGCTTCAGGCCACAAAATTTGTTGGGCCGTCCCTGTGTGCCCGGTCCCGGGCCGGTTCCTACAAAAAGACCGTTTAACCCGGGACCGGTAGGCCCATTTATTTAGGGACAGGCCCGGGACCGTTTAAACCAGCCCACTTGGCCCGTTTAGGGCCCGAACCGGCCCACATGCCAGCCTTAATTGTATTATACAAAGTTGCATTTTAGTTTAAATATCTTTATTTATTTAATGTAACGACTCCAAATATGATGTAACGACTCCTAGCTGAGAAAAATCTACTTATTATATCAGCAGAATCTTGAAACAAGAATTCAAAAGACTGCACGAGATCCAATATCCGGAAGCAAGAACTATGATGGTATTTACTCAACAAAATATCATTTGTTTCACGGTTCTTTTCCTAAGTTACAATAGCATGGGGAAGCTAATTAAGAAAGGGCACCTTAACCATATAAAGCTGGATAAAATTTTAATGGTTCACAAGAACAAAAGAAAAATGGAGAAAGAAACAACCAACAAGGACTGCACAAAATTGAATAAAACTGCTGGTTATCAAAAATTGCATCTCCATATCTATCAGCTTGATCTACTCTCTATCCTCACCTCATTTTTCTTCCTCCTTTATTTTAAGTGAACGAGATAAGCAACCTCCTCGGTGTAGTAAATTAGAAGAAATTATTAGTGGTCCTACTGCAGTTTATCTTCCACATTTCTACAGCATCAAATAGTGAAGAAGTTGCCTATGGAGGTTGTCAGGAGATGAAGCACATTCATAGTTGAGATCACTTTCCTCAATGTACTTAAGCACAGATTGACTGTTGACTGTACAATCCATTTATTCCATGGGCAAACTGTCGCCTGTTTCTTCTACGCTTTATCACAGGCAAAAAACCGTCTCCATCCTCTGTCTTTGCCCCGCTATATTTATTTGCTTCTGTCAAAAGTTCTTTTTTCCCTTCACTTCCAGAGTGCAATTTAATTGCACTATCATCTGCACTTGCTTTAGCAGCGCTAACTAAGAAATCAGACTTCTTTGTACTAACTGAAAATTCACTTGGACCATCTGAAGTGTTCTGTTTTGACTTCACAATGAAGCTACTTTGTATTTGCCTAGCTAGCTCTTCCCTCTCAGCATGTAGTCTGCTTTTTGTTGATCTAGCATTTCTGACGTCAATTGTAGCCTTTTTATCAAGCTTCTCCTCTGCTGAAACTATAGTGACCGAGTTATTCAACCCTGTCGAAGAATCAGCATCAACAGCTACTCTTGAATCTTCAGTTGCAGCACTCGTCGGCCGTGCTTTACTTGGAACAAATTCAGGTGCATGTGGATTCATGATTCTTGGATAATCATAACTGCTTATTTCAGCAACAGGACTTTGGTACTTCACATATCCATTTTTCATGCGAGAATGGCTTGTCCTGTGGTACAAAGATGATCTGGGGCCACAAGGAACTCTCTCAGCAATTGATGGAAAGCCCACTGGTTCAGTAAGCATGCCTTGGTTGGCTCTAACATCATAGACGTTGGTCACAGCAGCAGAAATCAGCATATTAGTCAAATGGTAGGCACCTGGATTGAATGGTTCAGCAGCCGCAGATAGCTTGCTCCCATTTGATCGTAAAGATTTTTCCTCATTACTTGAACATGAAACACCTTCACGCTCCAGGGAAGATTTCTCTGACTCAGATCCACTTATCTGGCCTTCGTCTTCATGGATTCCTTGTCCGTCTCGATCATTGGCAGGTGTAGCCTCTATGGTCACCGACTGCTTTCCATCTTCTTCTGATGTTTCAGTTGGACTAACGCAGATCTGGGAATCAGTTTTATCCTCATTTAATTCTTCTACTTTCTCCAATAAAGGCTTTAGAACCATACCTGGTGGCGACACTGCTACTTCTTTGTATGATAAGGATTTGGAAGCCATGGTAGCAAGAGAGGCAGGAGGAGAGGGAACAGTGATATTTGATGTGCGAGAAACTTCGGCAACAGTCATTTTAGCGGAGAGTTTGGTTGACTTTTCAGAAGAACTGAAGCTAGCAGCTTTTAGTTGCTTTACAGGAGAAAATTCACCTAAACCAATCTTAGATGCCACTTTTTGTCTCTGTGAAGTAACTTCTTTCCTGGAACTGCTGTCTCGGGGGAAAAAGTATTCCAAGTTTGTATTGATCTTGGCAAGACCTGGTTGCCTTCGGTTGAACATCTTGCCACTACCATGCCCCGTCCGTGTTTTCGAATTCGCTTCCTGCCACCCTTCATCAGAGCTAGTTTCTTCATTTATTTCCACTGATTCCTCATTTCTAGTGCTATTACCGCCTTCAAGTTCTTGAGTAGCAACCCTCTCTGAGTCGTCTTCTTTCTTGTTAACTTCTACTACAGTCACAGGATTTTCTGTAACATCATGATCCAAGGGGCTGTTACTTCTTCCATCATGCTGTCCTTTTTGAGATTGATCATCTACTGGCAACACCTAAGAGGCCATAAAGAAGGAAAGAGTAACAGCGTTAATTGGCAGCTTGAGAAAGAAATGATAATCGGTAACTCAAAATGACCACAGCCAAAATTATCTCTTCCCTCCCCAAAAAGGAGGTTTTCCCAGGATCTGTGTTCGTAGAGTCACCTAAATTATGAAGTAAAGGATCATGTGCTGAAGTATCAGGACTAGATTTTCCCCATTAAGTTGAGCTCCAATGTCATTTCACTTTTTGATGCCTAAATAACTTACAGTTGAGATTTTGGGATTAAGACTAACTTCTACGTTAAATGTACAGAAAAAGTTTGCAGCTCCATCTGAATTACTCTCAATGTAAGAAGTTTCGGTGAATTAAAAAGTAAGAAGAGCATATACTACTATACTGAGTGATGAACAACCTTTGAACGTCGCTTCCTCTGTGCTTCAATGGTCTTTGAACCCTGGCCAGGACTAATGTAATCCAATAGATCTGACACGCTACATCAGAAAGTAAGAGTTTTGGTACCTTAGACGCAAGCATATAGTTCAAGCCCGAGTAACACCAATTCAAAGGTAAAGTTTCAATACCTGAGGTGACCTTTGCTAGCAATGGTTGCATCTAATCTTGGAGCTCCAGTTCTTGCAGCTTCCTGCTGCTCTAGGGCTTTTGATTCAAAGTATTCAAGCCATGCAGCAGCATCCTGCATATATATAATGCACATGTAACTCTCCAACTTTAAAATGCAGCAACAGATTGGTGATTTATAGCCTGTTTGGCCAAGCTTCTTTTTGGCCAAAAGTGCTTTTTTTTGGCTAAAAGCACTTTTGGCCAAAAATTGAGGTGTTTGGCCAAGCTTTTGGAAGGAAAAAAAGTGCTTTTGAGGAGAAGCAGAAGCAGTTTTGGAGAAGCAGAAAAAAGTAGCTTCTCTCCAAAAGTACTTTTTTGAGAAGCACTTTTGAGAAAAATACACTTAGAAGCAGTTTTTTAAAGCTTGGCCAAACACTAATTGCTGCTCAGAAGTGTTTTTCAAACTAATTAGCCAAACACAAACTGCTTCTCACCAAAAGTACTTTTGAAAAAAGCACTTTTGAAAAAAAGCACTTCTCAAAATAAGCTGATTTTTGCAGCTTGGCCAAACGGGCTATTAATAAGAGTCAAGTCGCTTATTATCTTCTACTAAGCAAAGACCTCATTCTTACTGGGAAATGCCAAATGTAACAAAAAGATAAGGCAAGTATGTTATTTGCTGAATATGTTTACAAAGAAAGCACCACAATGCACAGAGAGAGAGAGAGAGAGAGTGCTATCTGGAGCATCATTATTTTTGCCGCTCAGAATTTGTAGATGGATTCTTTCCATTCCAAAGAAGTTTCAGTTTTTTTCTGAGAGAAAAATACATAGTTTATCCTGATATCAACAAGCTCTGGGAAAAAATTCAATAGGCCAACCCAAACATCTAACTCATGTTGAAGCATTCCGGAAAAAACTAAGTGAAACACTCTGTAGAGCCATAGTAGTAACTATTAGTAAAGAGGGAATTAGTAGCTAAATTTGCAGACACCTGAGTACGGAGATCCTCTGCTCCTAGTTTTGCTTGAAGAATCTGCAATGTAGTTTGCTCATGTTGCACACTCAGTGAATATGCTTCCATGAGAGAAAGAGCTATAGCTATGGCATGATAGCTGGCAGCAGTCTGTCCGAGGCAACAACAGAGTTAACAAAACTATAGCTGCTAAAAGGTGTCAAAAAGCAAAGAATATTTTCACAAGCACCTAACCTAGTAAAAGGATATCGTAGTATGATTATCGGTATCACATGCACATGCGCACACAAATTCTGATAATGACTTTACATGTCTGATGTTCAAATATGAGAACTGAGAGAGAGAAAAACCTGTATATGATCTACTCCCAGTAATCTTTGGTTGCACTTAAGGGCTTCGTGTAGATATCTAAGAGCAATATGCACATTTCCCATGCCCTCTTCCATCATAGCCACATTTATGTATGTAGCAGCTGTGTTTGGGTGAGATAGTCCACATGTAAAGTGAAGAAGAAATAAGGCACGGTTGACATACCTGAAAATCAATCATGAACTTGCTCCAGTTATCAAAGTAAATAAGCAAAATGAATGAACAGCTAAACATAGTAAGACCAGTCAAGACTTCAACAAGAATGAAAAATGAATGAGTGAGACAAGACGGAGAAATCTTCTGCATCCTAAAACTACAATTTTTATAGTTTAACAGATTTGGAATCAAAAGGTTGAGCAAGACATGAAAGTCTTGGTTTCAAAATATGACCAACTAGAAAAGAGGATCCTTTCTCACTCACTTTAGAGCCAACTCAATGTGCTGGAGACGATAGTAGAATACAGAAAGATCCCCGTAACTTTTCATTGTATCTGGATGGTCAAGTCCTAGCTCCCTCTCATTGATATCCAATGCCTTCTGTTGATAGATTGTTGCCTAAATAACAATAATAATCATTCAGACAGATTATAATCATATATTCTGCAATTCTGTAAATCCGGGGAGTCTGCATTTCTTCTTTTTGTCAGTAAATGCAAATGCAATGTCTGTTGCGGAACACACAAGTGAACGAAAGGTCAAAAGGAAAGTAAAAAATTTCATGAATTGGAGAAATCCAAAAAGCTGACGGTGGGAGCTCGCACAATTGGAAAAACAACACAGATGTTTCGGAGTACTTCCGAAATCGTCTGTCAAACATCAATATTTGATAATTCTTCCTTGAACTACCTTTGCTAAACTTGAAAACTTTTCATCAGCTACATACTTGGATTAACTTTTAAGAACTTAGTTCTGGAATAAGATGATTAACTAGCAAGATATGAAAATAAGGAGGAAAAAGCATACTTTAATGTTACATGCCACTTAATTCATCAAAGCCAAGCGCCGAACTTTATGTTACCTGATTGAAGTCTCCAGTGTGATAAAGGACAACGGCCAGGAGGCTATATGCACTTGCAGTGGCACGGTGATAGGGGCCACATACAGCTATCAATTTTGCCAGGGCCTTCAAGTAAATACACAAGCAACAAAAGTAAATCTGTGTCCTATAAGGTCAAAGAAAATCTGTGCGCTTTGAGGGATGGACTTCAGAGACTTCTGAGTTTGCATATACTGTTATTTTATAATTTATACCTTTGTTCCATACATTACAGCATCTTCCAACTTCCCTTTGTCAAGGGCAACCTTAGATGATTCTAGTAAAGTCCGTCCATCAGCAGAAGAGCATCCAACATGCTGAAAAGAAGATAATAATTAAATCAAGCCACATTTCAAGTCATTTCATGAAGTTCAAAAGGAACGGGTAGAAGCAGAAAGGCTTACTTTACACAAAGGCACTACGCTGATAACATCAGTTTTACTGAACGGATATGGGCTTTCCATATCATAATCTTTTGGAATCAACTCTAGTCCAACCTGAAATAAAACTAATGTTATTTACTTTGAATGGTAAACTTTAATAAATGCAGCCACGCATATAGTACCTTATGACAAAGTCCGCGGAGGACCGACAATTTCCTCAACTGTTGGAATTCATCTTTTAATCTCCAACTGAATCTTTCAAAAAGAAATTCCCTTAACCATTGCATCTTGAGAATGTGGTTTTCATCACTGTCTTCTGTGGTAGAGGACCCGAACAAGAAATTTAAGGATGATGCTATAGCAGCTGACAAGTTGGCGACATTGTCAATGGAGGCAATGACAGCTCTAAGTACATGCTTGAAAGCTCGAGTAACCATCTCATGAATACAAAGCGACTGTATGTGAGGAAGCTTCTCTGCAAGTTCAACCTACATTATGCAATGAATCAGGTTCATCAGAAGACATCAACATTTTTCATTTCCTGCCAAACAAAGAAAGCTCAAGATAGATGAGGAAATCAATCTTACCACACGACCCAAAGAACGCATTTGTAAACCCCTTAGATGCATGAAGTCGGTAAGGGTGCGTCCATCAACTGGAGAAAGTTCCAACGATGCAAAGTCTGTAACCTAAATAGAATTAGAGATTAGTTTTTCTGTTCACGTATTTCAAAGATTTCATTACCGAAATACATTCAATATTTAGCATTACCAGCTTCGGGATAGCAACTTCATCATAATACTTGTGTGCCATTTCGACAAGTTCATCCACTGACTGTAACAAGAAGAATATTTGTCAGTTAACTCTGAGTGATAAATTATAAGTACTGTCAGTGATAATATTAAAGAATGACTACTGACAAAATCTTTCTATTTCCTCAACAATTATTCCTAGTACTCTTTCTCCCTTTCACTCAAAAGATAGCAATTGAACAGCTTAGCTTGAGAATTCAATGACATCTTGAATTCTGGCCGAGTCAGAACTTCTTAAGTAACATCATGAACGATTTGAAGTAAGCAGATACAAGGTGTGCGGAGGTCATATAATGAAGGCTATTGTTTGAAGGGAAGATGACTAAACACTTCTGTGGCAATTAGCAAAGTACTTGAGAAAGAACAATAGGTGCACATTTTAGCATAATTATGTGCCAAGGAAAACAGTCTTATTCACTATTTCTCTTTTCCTTCTTCTCCTCTCCTCTCCCTTTGCACATCAATTTTTCATCATATTATAGCATAAGAATGTTTCATATAAAAGCTGTGCTATTATACCTTCAGATGAAGATCCATTCCACTTTCTTTCAAACGAAGGTAAGCTTCTTGTGAGACAAATCTCCTCCATTCAGTTTCACACTTAGGTTTGCCATTGCTAAGTTCCGTCGAGCCACTTTCTGCGTTCAGAGTGCTGGCTGTCACATCAACTGCTTCATTGTCATCCATGGAACTTACATTACTTGGTCTTGTTTCCCTCTTTTTGAGCATTTTAAACTGTCTTCCAAGTCCCTTAACTGTGGGTTCAGCCTTACCATCATTCCCAACTGTGTCCTCTGACGGTGTTTCGTGCTTTTGTAGATGTTGAACCCAACAAGAACCAAGTTCCCATCTGATGGACCCTTTGGATTTATCATCCATTCCCTTCAACTTACTCAAACCATCCTTAATGATTTTATGGACCAAAGTCATTGAATTTGCATGGTCGTCCAAATCAGACTGGGGCAATTGACCACCTCCAGAAAAACCAGCAGTCATTGGCTTGTTGAGCAGAAGGCGTAAGCTGGAAAAGGTTAAAACAGAGAATTAGAAGCAAGCACAAAGAAAACCATTAACATAGTCCTAAAGAAGAGTGAATCCTCAATAAAAAAAACCGTCAGATTTAAACATTGACATCAATTGGCCAATGTGACTTATCTTTCACAAACTCAATTTTGAATTTTGATATTATTACCCATGTAACTTGTCATTTCCAATCAAACTCTGAACATGGTGTTGGTTCCCAACTATATGAATTGTCCTCTTCATAAAAGCACGAAAAGTTAATTAAAAAAAGAAAGAAAAAAAAAGGATACATGTATAACTGCTTGACTGTGGTAACATGATAAATTAATGATCCTATACTTAAGTGCATTCTTAACGGTAAAAATTCTTAGTCTTCCAATCACCCGCCATATAAAAGTTCATATAGGTTTAGTGCTTTTTCTCAAACCTGTTGATGTTGAGTGCATTGGCTCCCCCATCTGGTTGGTCATCGATTTTGATATCCTGAGGCAGACTCTTATCCACCTTAATGTCACCAACAACTTTCACAATTGCAGTGTAACCACAATGTCGCACTGACACCATGCCCAATGAGGATGTATCCTGTCCGGTTAAACATATCCTTTCAATTTCCTGAATTGAAATAATTGGTGACAGCGAAAAGATAGGACAGTTTCTTCTTTTTCCCTTTTTTTTTTGGAAAAAATAACAAAATTTATACATAGGGGCAGGAGAAGGGGAAGGGGCTTATAAGATGGCCCCACCAACAAGGTAGAAGTTCAGGACCTTTGGGCAGCCAACCAACTGGGCTACCATGATTATTGATCCCCCAGGATAGGAGAGTTGACTGACAACTTTTACATCAATCCTATGCACATCATATGGAACCAGAAAAGTAAAATAAGATGGTGCTTGAAAGAGAAGAGTTGGAAGTTATAGATGTTACCCAACTCATAAATAACATCATGGAAACAGCAGGGAAAAGGAGGGGGGGGGGGGGGGGTTGGGGTTGTTCCAGGAGGTGAAAAGAGTATGTTCACACTGAAATAAATAATGCAATGCCTACTTATACCCACTTCCCCCTCGGTGGACCATGTCCCTGCTTATAAATAAAGGAGAAAGGAGGAAAGGAAAATCATACTACAACTATATAAGGGTTTTCCAAATCTCTCATAAAGCAGCTTGTAACTTACATGTATGACAACACTTTCATCGGCAGTTACCCCTTTAACTAAGTTTCTTTGAGCGACATCCTCAGCAGATTCATTAAAATCTCTACTGCCGATAACTTTGGCTTCTTTCAGGCTAGCATCCCCGAAATCTCTCTTAACTGTAATAGACAAATCACCAATGCAGTCCTCAGAGAGTACTGAACCCAAAGCACAATTTGAGGTACCCCTAGAAGTAGAATCCATGACTTTGTATATGGCTGAGACAGCTTTAAAAATAGAGACGTCAAGGAAAAGATTATGAAGCAAAAAAGCCTTTCGGTCTCGAACCACCCTCTCCTCTTCAGTCTTGCAAGGAAGGTTTGCCAGTACTGCAAAATCTGTAGCCCATGATCTATAATCATGCTCTCCGTTCCTTCCCTGACCTCCGCTGTTGCCACCCCAACTCTCATCTTCCACTGGAAGGGGGATGAAGTTTGACGCAGAATCAACGACGGATGGAGGGACAAGCCATGTGTTGGCGCGGAAACCATATGGAAGATTACCAAACTGAAAACAAGCAACATAGAAGAAAATATGCACACACAGTTAAATACCACTTCATTTACCCTTGAAGCTTATTCACAATAAACAAGATGTCACCTTGTTATGTTCTGTAAAGGCCTTCATCAAGGATTCATATGCCTGCAAAGAAAAACCAATCTTTTATTCAAAAAAAGATTAATGTACGCTAACAGAAGAGACATCACAAATTCAAAGCAATTTAGTGAAATAGCAAGTGATATCAATTTTCTGAGTTAAGACTGTTAGTACTGATTAATCAAGCTGATAAAAAGATGAATGCAATTGTTCTTATATCCTCTTTCTTATATATGTCCCAACATGCTATCAATATCAATCAAATAGGTATCTGACCTAATGGCAGTGGTGTCCCGCTGTTAGATACCATTGATGAATCACGTGTAAATGGCAAATGCGATTGATAACTAGGACGATTTAATTTCATTAGTGAAAAGAGAACTTGATGCACAAGAAAAAAATGCAAATTATACGAGTGATGTAAGCAACGCATAGTAAGGCTATGAAGGTACTTGCATTAGCAAAAGCTTGGCTGAGCTGTTGCAGAAGATCAACCAAGCAATGGCTTCGCATAAGTGGCTTCCCCAACGTGTAGAAACCTTTTGCTGCTGCAACCACTTGTAATGTCTTCCCATTGCATATCTTAATCTGCAGAGAGTTTTGGCATCGTCAAAATCCGAACAAATACAAAACCAGAAGAAAAGAAAGAAAATAAGCTACCTGTAATTCGAAATAGTCGCCATCTCGCCTTGTTTTAGCATCGTTACAATCAACTCTTTTCAAACCTGAAATAGCGCATTTAGAAGAAATGCACGGTAATATTCTAGAAGTTCCAGATGAAGTTAGAAGAATATCGAAAGGGAGAAGTAAACCGTACTTAGTATAGGCGGAGAGAGGTTAGACAAAGAGAAGAACTCGTAGAAATCAGAGAGCTTAGGAATTGGATGAATCGCCACCATTTCATTCTCTTCCTGCGCCGCTGAGGCTGACGGCGATGAAGGTGCCACTCCATCGGACGGCGAGGCTGGCCGGCTCGAAGCATTTCGCTGCGCCTTGTGCTTCTTGGCCCGAGATTCCGTACCTGAGCTGGCGGCGGAGGGAGTGGTGACTTTTCCGGCTTTGGCCTTGGCGTAGCGTGTGGTGCACGCGACGATGTCGAGTAACCTCCGGACATGATCCACGGCCTGAGACTCCTCCGTGTAGTCCTCTGAGAAGTCAGTGGCATTTTTGTTAATAAAGTAGGAATTTCGGGCAATAAGCAAAACATCAAACTTTTTTGGATTATATGATGTTTGGCTGCATGTGTAGATTCTATTTGACCAACAAAAATCATAGAAAACAAAAAGAGAAGTAATGGGCAGAGTGACATTTTATTCTCACAAACAATTAATCAATATTCAGTTTTAACTACAATAATAATAATTACATATGCAACGTGATCTTTCTTTGGGGCATGAGGAGGGTGGAGTATACGCGGACATTACTTTTACATTGTGTGAGATAAAAATGCTATTTTTGAACAAAACGACACATACTTGGCCGATAAACTTTGTTACATAATGAAATTAAATTAAATGTATGTTGATTATGTTAAATTATTGAACATTTTGCAGGAAATGTATGTCTGCACGGACACAGCTGGAGTAGTTGATTAAATGTATGGTACTGTGAATACTCGGTTGAGATTTGCAGATTGTGCTCAGACGTACTTGTTCGACAGAAAATCACAAGTAGTACAACAGCATTTATTATTTATAGATATTATTATTAATGGGGAGTAGGTGAAGTTTTTAACTTGAAGTTAATAGTAGTAATTATGAAATTCATTTTTTCAATTATGTGACCTGTTAACACCTATGTACTTTTTATTGAAATACACGCCATTGGTTTAACCATAACCTATCTACACTTCTTGCCTTCGGCAAATAGGGTTGGTGGGTAGGGGCGGAGCTAGAGTGCTGAGAACGGGTTCGGTTGAACCCTGTATTAGTTTTAAAAAATTATTGGACATATATAAATTATTAATTTAGAATCCAGTAACTTAAAGCGATTAAAATTTCGAACATAAACTTGAAATCTCAGCTCCGCCTCTGTTGGTAGGCTCTAATTTAATCATTCTTTTAAGCAGGACAAATGATAATAACAAATATACTACGTAACAGAAAAAGTATATCTGAATGGAATCTGCTGCTCTCTCAAATTTCAAGTGAGAACAATATTTATTTATTAATTTAATTTTGTCTTACACAAAAGTTGAAGTCATGCAACATTGGAATTCCCTAAACATGCCTGGAGGCTGAAAATATAGCGTCAAATTTGAGGTTTTTTTTTTTTCTTTCTTTCCCTAGAGTACAAAAGTCCAAACTCCTTTTTAATACTTTTTCATTAAAATATATAAAACCCAACACGTGAACCTATATACACAGAAATTTAAAACACACCTACCTTCAACCATCCTCAGCAAACATGGCTTCAGAGTCGCAACATCTAACCTGTCATTTAGTTTTGGTCCCTTCACCTATTAAAACCACCATCACTTTCCAAATTAATACACTTTTTTTTTTAATATAAATATTTTTTAAAAAGACAAAACAAAGATTAACCAACTGGCTAACTTCCAAAAATACAAAGAGACAAAGAATAGTCAATTTGTAATTTAATGCAATTAAAAATGAACTCACATTGCACCAAAAAAAAAAATGAACTCACCTCATGAGACAAAGAATAGTTTGTGAAATGACATGTTTCAACATTGGCAGCTAATAGCTTTCTCACATCCAGTATCTTGTCCGTTGAGATGCCCTTCAATAAGTAAATTTGATTTCAATTAATCAGCCAATTAGTTATTACTTATTATTTTCTCCATATACAAGTGAGAAATGCTAGTGTTTATTTGCATTTTCATTGTAAATTAAATGAATCATAAATCATAAATACCTTGAGAACAACTTCAGTTTCATAGGGAGTGACGACACTTATGTCAAGAATACTGGGAATCACTGTAAGGAAACAAAAAGGAAAATGTAAAGAGCAAAGTTAAACGAATTCTTTTAAAAAAAAGTTAACCATACTAAGAAATATATATGAGATAGCCCGCAAAGGTTGACTGAGTTGGCTGGGATGAGTGGTTTCTCAATGGGAGCGATGGTATCGATTCCCGTCACCAGCAACCTCCTCGTACACTTGTACTGGAGATAGCCCGCAAGGGTTGGCTGAGCTGGTTTGGTAAGTGATTTTCCAATGAGAATTCCTGGGTCAATTCCCCTCACCAAGCAGCCTCCTCAGTCAGAGCTTGTCGTACACTCGTACTGGAGTAGCAGCAGTGGGTTTACTAGGAATTTTAAAAATAAAAATAAAAATATATATGAGATATGTATTGAACCTTTCTCTTCTTTCTTCTTCTTGTCTGTCTTAGCTTTGTTTCCCTTTCCCCTGCCTGATCTTGGTGCCATGAACCTTCTCCTTTTCCACTCTAATTATGCTTTTCAGCTTCAACAAAGAGATGTCCAATTGCCCAAAGTACTGAAATTGAATGAACAAAAAGTCTAAAACTTTAATTCATTTGATGCATATATCAAGAAATTGGTATAAAACAATAGCGAGAAAAGGCAGAAGTGTTTGAAAAGTGGAGAAGAGAATGAAAAGGAAGAGGAAGCTAAATAGTAGTGAGAAAGTTGGAGATAGCTTTAGGAGATAGATAAAGTAGCGAAAGGAAATCTAGTGAAGGGTTTTGAAAGAAGATGATAGGATAAGGTGTGGAAGTTTTTGATTTTACACAAATTACACTACTACTATACCTTATTTCATTTTTATTCTTTTTCTTACTTCTCTTGTTTTTATTTCACTACTTAGTTTTAGTGTGCGTTTGGACATAAGAATTGTAAAATTCCGGGAAAAAGAGGGGAAAAAATTTCAAGTGAAAGTGGCATTTGAAAATAAGAGTTGTGTTTGAACATGAATATAATTTTGGGTTGTTTTCGAATTTTTGTAAGTAATTTGAGTAAAAAAATTTAAAAAACAGCTTTTTAGAATTTTCGAAAAATTTTGAAATTTATTTTCAAGTAAAAGTTGAAAAATTATGGTCAAATATTAATTTCGGAAAAAAGAAAAAAAATCAAAAAAAGTAAAAAAAAAAAATTATGGCCAAAGGGACAGTTAGTTATTTTGTAAGAAAATCTTGACCTCACCTTTGTTGGTACTTAAATGGACATGAATTATTGTGATAATAGACAGAGGATTTTTAGCTTTTCACGAGGATGTAATGTGAGGGATGATGTCCTTTTCTAATAGGGAGAGGGCAGTCCAATAAACATGAATTTAAGATAAAAACAAAATTAGTGGGGTTAATGAAGCTCAGCCACCGTTGGTTTCATGACACGTGGCATCCTCTTGATGGGTTTTTCTTCCATTTTGCCGTTTTTCTTGTTTTTTCATGTGTTGGCACCTTTTAATTATTTTCGCCAACCTTTTGGAGCAATTTCTGAGACCACAATTTCGTCATTCTTTCACTATTTTTCCATTAATTCCATTTTCTATGCTCAATGATATACTTAATGAATTTAAATTTCAGGCACTGATAATATAAAAATATATTTTTACATCAATATAATTTCATTGTTTCCGGTAAATTATCTATCCTTTTTTACATATTACTTTAAGCAAAGTCATTATAACCAATTTGTATTTATCGAATTGATTTAAAATTAGGTGGGTCTGTGCTGGATGTGATTAAGAGATTGGCACGAAAAAACCTACTTAGTACAATAATTGTTTTGAAATTTCAGCCTAAAGATTCGCACAGTGTGTCCACAAGTTTCACGTTTCATTCTAATTATTGTAAGTAGTGTTCGTTTCTTTAGTCCTCACTGTACATTTTATTTTCATCCAAAATTCCAGCAAGGGCACTCATAAAACACATGTTATACCTAAAAATATTTGGCAAGATTAAACTTTCAAATGAAGCGTGGGAGAACGGTGTGAATTTTAAGTAGACGAATTAATCTAAATAACCACTCATCCGATCTGTTAAATTTAAAAATAATTTATGGATGTATAATATAAGTATATCCATATTAATATATGTATAATCTACGTATATTGGTTAGAAAAAATAAACAGTGAATTCAACCGGCTATTTTGATAAAAATCCCATTTAACTAAGCTTCTAATTTCATTATCGAGACCTTCCCCGTTTTTCCCAATGTTTCTAAGAATTATTTGGGAATTTTGCGCTTAGAATTATTTCACACTGATTAAAGAAATAAGTTGTTATTTGTTTATATGATCTTGGACAACTCTCTTCCTCATGAATTAGCTTTTGAATTAGATTTAAGCCTGTTGATTTTCTTACCATGATATCTAGCCACACTTATCCTAATTTTTCGTTACTCAATATAGGGTCCCCATATTAAGGGTTTTCGTTAAGTAATGTTGGACTTTCATATTAAAATTGTTTACGCTTTATATTGTCCCGCTAAAGGCAATATGANAGCACTTTAAGTTTGACCAAGTATTTTACTATTTATCCTTAAAATATTCCTTTTAGAACTAAACTCTTACATCGATACTCACTGCCTCACGGTATTTTTTCCAACCTAAAACCCCCCCCCCCCCCCTCTACCCCCTTCAAGTTTGCAATTCTCATTGATTATATAAGATAAGCAAATTCTTTATTCCTTTGCATTTTTGTAACTATGTGATTGTGTATTAATCTTTGAATTGTATGTAATAAATGAGGACATATCAAATTTTTGGTGTATTACTTTTTAAGTGTTGTGGTGACGAAGACAGTGTTTGTTTCTCTTCAATATTTTGTCCTATTTAGGTTTATTTTTTATTGAGAAAATTTTGTCAATTTATTAATTATTATAACTTATTATTATATGCTTATCATAAAATAAATTATATTTATCATAAACATTATCTTATCTAAGCATAGTTGTATTTAAAATAAAATGACAAACAGGATATTTTGTATTCGAATCGATGTGGAATCTAAAATTTTGAAGAAATTACGCCCTTATAAGTGTAAACAGTTCTAAGGTTAGTTAAGTTATTTTAACAGAAAAAGAGCTTATCAGCAGCAACTTATTATCAATTTCAGCACTTATATCCAAACACGTAACTGCTTATTTATTAAATCAGTTTCAGCACTTAAAAGTGCTTTTCAGCACCTAATACTTATCAGCTACTTCAAATCAGCTAATCCAAACGGCCTCTATATCCTAGGGAAAGAAAAAAGAGTTGCAGTGTATGTACAATATATCAATCAAAAGGAGGGGCGGATTTACATATAAATATTGAGTGCTCGAGCACCCATTAACCTCGACTCAAGATATGTATAATTATATATAAAATTTAACGGAACCGATATAATTAAATAACAAGCACACTGGTAACAAAAAGCCCGGTGGGGGTTATGAAAGTTGAAGGTTGAGAGATCAAAATTGACTCCTACCGAGATTAAGATTGTTTTACTACCTTTTTCTTTTATTTCTCTTTTACCCCAATTATTAGGTCATCTTTTTTGCTTTTCACCAGCGATTTTTTTTGACCCAATACTACTCTTTTTTTAATTACTTCGATTCTGACTTTTTTTTTTACTTTTTTTTTTCTTTTCCTTCTACTTCATCTAATTCACTACAACGGAGAAAGAAAATGAAAGTTTGCTTTAAAAAATAAAGTGTTCCTCCAAAACGGTAAAATCCGCTAATTTTCTTTCTCGTCAATTGCATTATCCATCACAGTTTTATGGCATTTTTAATATTAATACTATGGGTTTCTTATTAATTTTTTATCGTGTTTAAATAGTTATGCACTTATACAATTTAATTGGTGATAACTTGAAGTCAAATAAAATTAAGCAACCACAAACTCAAAATCCTGAATCCGTTACAGTCAAAAAAGAAATTAAATCAATTAATTAAACTATAGAATCACTCATTAATTGGTTGTCTTAAGGATTCTCAAAGTATCTACTGCTCAAATGGCAAAGGGTGAGGCTTTTTCGAAGGAATCTTCGGACAGGTAATTGCACTAAGAACAGCTAGTATAGACAACAACGTCATTGTATTCAAAGCATGACAGAGCAGGCGCTGTTGTTATTTACTGTTCGGGCGGGGATTGTAATTGTCTTCATCGCTTTTTCCAAATCCGCAAATTCGTGTTAAGAAGCCTGACTTATTTGTACTTATGGCTAAATACACCTCAAAGAGCATTTCAATTGTCCAACAATTTTCCTCCGACTTATATTTTCAGGAAATTTGAAAAACGAAAACAAAAAAATTAAAATTAGCGCTATCACTTTTATTGTGATATCTTGTGGAATAGTTGAGGTGCAAAAGATTGTGCAAAAATATTATTATTTATTATAGAAAGAAGAAAAAAAAAGCATTAGTGCTTTTATTCATTTGGAACGTCCAAAAGTACTCTTTTAGCATTTCGAGCTACTCGACCTGCTTTCATTTTATTATTTTTCTCACCAAGTGCTATATAAGTTGAGTAGAACTTTTACTCGTTATAAACAATGTAACGAATACTAATTATAATCTAAAAATAAAAATAAATTGTAAGAGTAATAATTACTTCAAATAAGATTCCTTTGTTTTCCGACTATCTATATCTCGTTCTTTGACTGCAAATTTGTCAGTTTATGGTTTGAGTGGAAAAGAACGTAAAAATTGTATGGGGCGCCTTATTTGGTCGCCCCCATTTAATCTATACCCATATTTTTAAAATTATTTAATTTATACCCTAATTTTGACAACTTTATACCCATCGCTGCCTCCTCTTCTTCTCCGGCGACCTATGCGCTCCATACTTGGTCATTTTCATTTTTTGTCACAGGTTCAAGATAAAACATGAAACATTCAAATCGTGATTCGTGGGTGAACCTCATTACCTATTCCTTCAGAGAAAGTGATGCTTGTTGTTGTACCAAGAGGATTTCTGTCTCTTGCAAATAGTTGTAGTCATAGCGCCTTGAAGTTTTCCTGTTTGTATCTGTAGATTCTCTTTCTCTTTCTCTTTTTCAACAGTGTTATTCTATTACAAATAATTAGAAAGAGAGATATGACATCTCCAGTTAAATTCTTTTACCATTTGTTTGTCTCATCAATTGTACAAATTTCCTTTTGTCCGTGCTCTTGAAACTTTTGAAGGGTCGTTTGTTTGCAAATGGCAAAGGGGATAATAATAAAGAAAATGAAGAACTTCGGACAAACTTTTGATTTTGTCTGAAGTTTTCACTACAAACTAAATAACTTCAGACTAATTTGTCTGAAGCTTGCACTACGAACTGAAGAACTTCAGACTAATTTGTTTGAAGTTTGCACTACAAACTAAAGAACTTCAGACTAATTTGTTTGTCCGAAGTTTGCACTACGAACTGAAATTTTTTTGATTGCTTTTGCAAGTCAGGCCAAACTTCAGACGAAAATATATGAAATTTTACTTTGATAAGGTCACACTTTAGGCAAAAAGTTTTGAAGTTCAAACTTCAGACATAAATTCTTGCTACTTCAGGCCCCGTATGTCTGAAGTTATCCGAAAAGTGGGTACGCTTGCAATTTTTTTTGCAAAGCGGGTATAAGTTAAAAGGTGACCCAAAAACTGGGTGTAGATGCAAATTCCCCTCTATACTATATTAAAAGCACGAAGGCACTTAGCGAAATGTGGTTCGCTTTTTTTATCCTTTAAAAATATAGCTCACATTGAATAAAATAGTCATTTTATTAATTT